CCCTGCACAGCTTCAAAGAACTGATAGGATTTGGCTTTCACCTGCAGGTACAGACACTTTTACAAGAGATCTTTCTGTTGGAACAAACATACTGGATAATTAATGAGATAAAATGGTTTCCCAGTTTCATTAAAACAACACCAGCATTAGAAAAAGCATTTCAAAACAACGACTATTTGATATTTTTATTTTACCTGCAGTACTGAGCTCCGAGTTGCATATAAAAATAAATAAATAAAAGCTTGACCACATTTTGCCAGAGCAGTGCGAGTAGGCTACAGTCACACTTGGATGGATAGTAAATTGATGTCTGTGGCCACAAGGGGAGCAGAAATCCTTCAACAAGTCAATGGAACATGTTTCCACTCCTCCATTGCAGTCTCCAGAGCAGACCTTTCCGGCCGTGAACACACTACAACCAGGAGAAGGAGAGAAAGGAAAGAAAGAGGAGTGGACGGAAGTGGGCTGAGGACAGGATGTGCTCCAAGCCATCTTTCCTCCCCGAGAAGGTGGAGCGGCTCAAGGCATGAGAGAGATGAAGCAGAGAGATGGAGAGAGAGAGAGATGAAGCAGAGAGCTGGAGAGAGAGAGAGATGGAGCAGAGAGATGGAGAGAGAGAGAGATGGAGCAGAGAGATGGAGAGAGAGAGAGATGAAGCAGAGAGAGATGGAGAGAGAGAGAGATGGAGCAGAGAGATGGAGAGAGAGAGAGATGAAGCAGAGAGATGGAGAGAGAGAGAGATGAAGCAGAGAGAGCTGGAGAGAGAGAGAGATGGAGCAGAGAGATGGAGAGAGAGAGAGATGAAGCAGAGAGATGGAGAGAGAGAGAGATGGAGCAGAGAGATGGAGAGAGAGAGAGATGAAGCAGAGAGATGGAGAGAGAGAGAGATGAAGCAGAGAGATGGAGAGAGAGAGAGATGAAGCAGAGAGAGCTGGAGAGAGAGAGAGAGATGAAGCAGAGAGAGCTTGAGAGAGAGAGAGATGGAGCAGAGAGATGGAGAGAGAGAGAGATGAAGCAGAGAGAGATGGAGAGAGAGAGAGATGGAGCAGAGAGATGGAGAGAGAGAGAGATGAAGCAGAGAGCTGGAGAGAGAGAGAGATGAAGCAGAGAGATGGAGAGAGAGAGAGATGAAGCAGAGAGATGGAGAGAGAGAGAGATGGAGAGAGAGAGAGATGAAGCAGAGAGAGCTGGAGAGAGAGAGATGGAGAGAGAGAGATGAAGCAGAGAGAGCTGGAGAGAGAGAGATGAAGCTGGGAGAGCTGGAGAGAGAGAGAGATGGAGAGAGAGAGAGATGAAGCAGAGAGAGCTGGAGAGAGAGAGAGATGGAGAGAGAGAGAGATGAAGCAGAGAGAGCTGGAGAGAGAGAGAGATGGAGAGAGAGAGAGATGAAGCAGAGAGAGATGAAGCAGAGAGAGATGGAGAGAGAGAGAGATGAAGCAGAGAGAGAGAGATGAAGCAGAGAGATGGAGAGAGAGAGAGATGGAGAGAGAGAGAGATGAAGCAGAGAGAGCTGGAGAGAGAGAGAGATGGAGAGAGAGAGAGATGAAGCAGAGAGAGAGAGAGATGAAGCAGAGAGAGCTGGATAGAGAGAGAGATGAAGCAGGGAGAGCTGGAGAGAGAGAGAGATGGAGAGAGAGAGAGATGAAGCAGAGAGAGCTGGAGAGAGACAGAGATGGAGAGAGAGAGAGATGAAGCAGAGAGAGAGAGAGATGAAGCAGAGAGAGCTGGAGAGAGAGAGATGAAGCAGGGAGAGAGATCAAGCAGAGAGAGCTGGAGAGAGAGAGAGAGATGAAGCAGGGAGAGAGAGATGAAGCAGAGAAAGCTGGAGAGAGAGAGAAAGATGAAGCAGAGAGATGGAGAGAGAGAGAGATGAAGCAGGGAGAGAGATGAAGCAGAGAGATGGAGAGAGAGAGATGAAGCAGAGAGAGATGGAGAGAGAGAGATGAAGCAGAGAGAGATGGAGAGAGAGAGAGAGATAAGGAGAGCTGGAGAGAGAGAGATGAAGCAGAGAGAAATGGAGAGAGAGAGAGATGGAGAGAGAGAGAGAGAGATGAAGCAAAGAGAGATGAAGCAGAGAGAGATGAAGCAGAGAGAGAGATGAAGCAGAGAGAGATGAAGCAGAGAGAGAGATGAAGCAGAGAGATGGAGAGAGAGAGAGATGAAGCAGAGAGATGGAGAGAGAGAGAGATGAAGCAGAGAGAGAGATGAAGTAGAGAGAGATGGAGAGAGAGAGAGATGAGGAGAGATGGAGAGAGAGAGATGAAGCAGAGAGAGAGATGAAGCAGAGAGATGGAGAGAGAGAGATGAAGCAGAGAGAGCTGGAGAGAGAGAGAGATGAAGCAGAGAGAGAGAGAGATGAAGCAGAGAGAGCTGGAGAGAGAGAGAGATGAAGCAGAGAGATGGAGAGAGAGAGATGAAGCAGAGAGAGCTGGAGAGAGAAAGATAGATGAAGCAGAGAGAGATGGAGAGAAAGAGAGAGATGAAGAGAGAGATGGAGAGAGAGAGAGATAGAGATGGAGAGAGAGAGAGAGATGAAGAGAGAGATGGAGAGAGAGAGATTAAGAGAGAGGTGAAGCAGAGAGAGCTGAAGCAGAGAGAGATGAAGCAGAGAGAGATGGAGAAAGAGACAGATGAAACAGAGAGAGCTGGAGAGAGAGAAGGATGAAGCAGGGAGAGCTGGAGAGAGAGAGAGATGAAGCAGGGAGAGAGATGAAGCAGAGAAAGCTGGAGAGAGAGAGAAAGATAAAGCAGAGAGATGGAGAGAGAGATGAAGCAGAGAGAGATGGAGAGAGAGATGGAGAGAGAGAGAGATGAGGAGAGCTGGAGAGAGAGAGATGAAGCAGAGAGAAATGGAGAGAGAGATAGAGATGGAGAGAGAGAGAGATGAAGCAAAGAGAGATGAAGCAGAGAGAGATGAAGCAGAGAGAGAGATGAAGCAGAGAGATGAGAGAGAGAGAGATGAAGCAGAGAGAGATGAAGCAGAGAGATGGAGAGAGAGAGAGAGATGAAGCAGAGAGAGTTGGAGAGAGAGATGAAGCAGAGAGAGATGAAGAAGAGAGAGATGGAGAGAGGCAGAGATAAGGAGAGATGGAGAGAGAGATGAAGCAGAGAGAGATGGAGAGAGAGAGAGATGAAGCAGAGAGATGGAGAGAGAGAGATGAAGCAGAGAGAGATGAAGCAGAGAGAGATGGAGAGAGAGAGAGATGAAGCAGAGAGATGGAGAGAGAGAGATGAAGCAGAGAGAGCTGGAGAGAGAAAGATAGATGAAGCAGAGAGAGATGGAGAGAGAGAGATGAAGCAGAAGAAGAGAGAAAGGAGAGACCAAACCAACCGCCCTCTGTCTTTTCGTTCATGACTTATTGCCTAACCAGAGCAGACAAGCATCAAAAAGCTGGGTTTGACAGAGGAGAGAGCAGAGGCATGAGCTGTGTGCATAAAGAGAGGCAGGTTTTACGGTATGCTAACAATAAACTTCATTTTAGCTAGATATTTTACAGCTTTTTATATCCTTTTTTTATGTTTATCGCAAAAAAATAACATGTATTGAGTTCTTAGGTCCTGGTTGATTCCACCTCCCGATGGGGTCAAGCACCACTATAATTCTCTTCTTCTTTACTGAATTAAAGTAAAACTAAACTTGCATCTCTTGATTTAAAAAGAAAATACTTTGTTGCAGTTTTCACCTTTGATTTTTACAGATGGCTCCGACCACTTTTTAGTGTTTCTAGGTTGTTGCGAGCGGTCAGGTCGATAAGGCTGCCGACGCCTACTCGCAGATCTGCAGACGAAGCATGTTAAGGAATTACGTCTAACCCTGTAGTGCACTTTCAACGAGAAGCTCAAAAAATGAAACTCAGACAAAATGAACACTCCTTGTCCTGCTCTAACCAGTTTCCAAGTGGATTCATGTGCTCTTCAGAGTCAGAGCCTGGTCTTACCATGTGTAAACTCTGGTCCATGATCCTTTCCTACATGTACGTCTGGTCTTACCATGTGTAAACTCTGGTCCATGATCATTTCCTACATGTACGTCTGGTCTTACCATGTGTAAACTCTGGTCCATGATCATTTCCTACATGTACGTCTGGTCTTACCATGTGTAAACTCTGGTCTATGATCATTTCCTACATGTACGTCTGGTCTTACCATGTGTAAACTCTGGTCCATGATCATTTCCTACATGTACGTCTGGTCTTACCATGTGTAAACTCTGGTCCATGATCATTTCCTACATGTACGTCTGGTCTTACCATGTGTAAACTCTGGTCCGTGATCATTTCCTACATGTACGTCTGGGTCTGATCCTAGTGGCTGCAGTTTCCTCGGTTGAATCCCCTCCGACCAATCAGAGAGCGGGGGAGGCGGGTGTTGTAGGTCGTGTCGGTGACGTCAGAGTTTGTGCTGAATTTGCTGGTTGTAGTTTGTCGGAGAATGCGATAGTAAAATAATCTGTTCTGGTTCAATCCAAATATCAAGAAACTGAAGCCGGAGCAAGAGGAATGTTTAGTAAATGTCATTGAGGCAAAGATGTTGTGGCTCTACTCCCCACGGGCTCCGTTAGTGGCAAAGGAGATGCTAAAGCTAGGCTAAATGCTAAAGAGTTAACCCCTCCCACCTGTTAATGGAGTCAATGGAACAAATTCAGACCTTAGAACCAAATTAAATTAGTACAATGGTACGGTAAGAACTGGCTCAAGTGTTGTGAATGCATGCATGTGCCAAATAACTGTTTCAAAAAGTGTACTGTATATATTGCTAAGTCTTGCTAATTAGGGAACAAACAAAAAAGCATTTTTTTTTACAGTTAAAAAAAGCTTCTGGTGAAAGAATTCATTCATAGCATTCTTCTCTCTGAACAGTTGTAAGTAATAACTGGCTGTGCCGGGGGATCCAATGGCAGCACGGTCCATCTGTCTAAGACTTGTATTCATTTAGAGGCACACAGAGGCAAACAGTATTTATTTACGAGCCAAAGAGAAAACATGTAGAGAGAAAAAAGCATGTGCCAGTCCAAATCAGCCATCCCTCCAGAGGAACCTCCAGAGGAACCTCCAGTGCAGGGGTCTCCAACCTGTAGCTCGGGAGCTACAGGTAGCTTGCCGAAGTAAGTAAGTAATGTTTATTTCATTTATATTCATATCCATCTGATAATTCTCCCATTCAAGTCACTTTACCTGTTGATATTATTTCTGATGTTTATTCTCATATTCTCCGCTGCTAATGTATAATATAGACATCTGTAAATACTCCGAACCAAGTGCAATTGTAGCCCAGATTTTCTTATTTTATTTTATTTTATTTTATCTTAAATTTATTGCCTATTATCTTAAATAATAGACTTTAATGTGTGCAATCTGAGTGCTCTTATTTCCTTTCTCTGCTGTAATGTGCAACGATGACACTGAAATTTCTCCACTGTGAGACTAATAAAGGTTTATCTTATCTTATCTTATTTATATAATGCATTTTACAGACCAAAGTCACCCAAAGCACTTTACAATGTTCAGAGTTCAGATATTGTTCCAATCATTCCACACACGGTGATGACGGAAGCGAGTCGCCGAACACATTTATTATTGTAACTGCACTTACTTTGTCACTAGTAATAAATTTGTGTTGATAAATAATAACTGTACCCGATATCAGAAAGTACACACCAATATTTCACCATTTTTATCCCCCAGGGCCGCCTAAAGGAGTATCTCTCTGCCCTTATCGTCCCGGGAAAGTAGCTCTCTGGGTGAAAAAGTTTGGAGACACCTGCTCTCCAGTGGACCCTCCAGTGGACCCTCCAGTGGGACCTCCAGTGGAACCTCCAGTGGAACCTCCAGTGGACCCTCCAGTGGTACCTCCAGTGGACCCTCCAGTGGACCCTCCAGTGGAACCTCCAGTGGAACCTCCAGTGGACCCTCCAGTGGACCCTCCAGTGGACCCTCCAGTGGAACCTCCAGTGGAACCTCCAGTGGGACCTCCAGTGGGACCTCCAGTGGAACCTCCAGTGGACCCTCCAGTGGACCCTCCAGTGGTACCTCCAGTGGACCCTCCAGTGGACCCTCCAGAGGACCCTCCAGTGGAACCTCCAGTGGAACCTCCAGTGGAACCTCCAGTGGACCCTCCAGAGGACCCTCCAGTGGAACCTCCAGTGGAACCTCCAGTGGACCCTCCAGTGGACCCTCCAGTGGAACCTCCAGTGGAACCTCCAGTGGGACCTCCAGTGGGACCTCCAGTGGAACCTCCAGTGGACCCTCCAGTGGAACCTCCAGTGGAACCTCCAGTGGAACCTCCAGTGGAACCTCCAGTGGACCCTCCAGTGGAACCTCCAGTGGGACCTCCAGTGGAACCTCCGGAGGAACCTCCAGTGGAACCTCCAGTGGAACCTCCAGTCGGACCTCCAGTGGAACCTCCAGTGGACCCTCCAGTGGAACCTCCAGTGGAACCTCCAGTGGACCCTCCAGTGGACCCTCCAGTGGAACCTCCAGTGGGACCTCCAGTGGAACCTCCAGTGGACCCTCCAGTGGACCCTCCAGTGGACCCTCCAGTGGAACCTCCAGTGGAACCTCCATTGGAACCGTCCCTAAAGCGAAAATCACTACAACCTGCTCTGAATTCATCAACCATCTGGAAATTCTCGGTGGAATCTCAACAACCCTCTTCTGAAGGAGAAAGTTTTTGCCGAGCGATTGATTGGCAAGTATTTCAGATAAGGCTGCCGTGAGTATTGGCAGTGGCCGTGATGAGGCAATCAGGAGTCTGGCCTTGAAGCTTGGGAGAAAATGTACTGGCATAATGTAACCGCTGCACTGGACTGAAGATGAGAGGAGTGCGAGCATGAAAGGTTTGTTGTTAATATGGATACATGCAAAAATAAATAAATATGAGCTCTAAAAAGAAGGTTGAATGTTGGCGGGATATACCTTCGTCAAACGGAAATAAACTCATCAATACAGACACACACATGCAAACATAGATGTACAGTCAAGAAACGGTACGCGCTGCAGTTTCACAATGTGTTGGTTTGTTTACATATTTACACATGTATTTAAAAGAGATAAGATATTCCTGCATTTGATTTCACTTGAAGAGATTTAGGAGATGCATAATTCAAGTGAAAACTCATCCAAGTAGACCTGTTTTTTGTGCGGTACTGAAAAGTCTAAAACTAATTACAGTTATAAAACTTTCAAATCCGGCACTAAATAGATGTTGTGGGTGAGGCTCTCTGGTCTTTCTCTCAGGTATTGCTTTCATGAAGGTCTCTCTCAGGTCTCTCTCTGGTCTCTCCCTGGTCTCTTTCTGGTCTCTCTCTCTCTCTTTGTGATCTCTCTCTGGTCTCTTGCCCTGGTTTCTCACTCTGGTTGTTCTCGCTGGTCTCTCTCTGTTCTCTCTCTCTAGTCTCTCTATAGTCTTTCTCTAGTCTTTCTCTAGTTTATCTCTAGTCTCTCTGGTCTCTCTCGTGTCTCTCTGCTCTCTCTCTCTAGTCCCTCTGGTCTCTCTCTTGTCTCTCTCTGGTCTCTCTCTTGTCTCTCTGTTCTCTCAGTCTAGTATCTCTCTAGTCTCTCTTGTCTCTCTTGTCTCTCTAGTCTCTCTTGTCTCTCTAGTCTCTCTAGTCTCTCTCTGGTCTCTCTCTTGCCTCTCTCTGGTCTCTCTCTGGTCTCTCTCTGGTCTCTCTCTAGTCTCTCTGGTCTCTCTCTTGTCTCTCTCTTGTCTCTCTCTGGTCTCTCTCTAGTCTCTCTCTAGTCTCTCTGGTCTCTCTCTGGTCTCTATTGTCTCTCTCCGGTCTCTCTGTTGTCTCTCTGTTCTCTCTCCCTGGTCTCTCTCTTGTCTCTCTTGTCTCTCTGGTTTCTGGAGGCTAATCTCATGATATCAAAGCCCTGTTGTAAGATCTATTCCACATTCTGTGTAAATTGTTGACTGTGGATTTTTCCATAACGTACAGATATAGTTTGTTTTGTGCCTTCGTGTGAGATATACATTTTGATTGTAATTCACTTTTAGGGGTGGTATTGATACCGTATCAATCCAATGAAAATAAACAGATGTCGGCTGCTAACTGAATAGAATACGTCACCATTGACCTTCTGGAGAGTTTGAATACGCTTTTTTTATCTGCTTGAAAAAGAAAAGTTTAAAAAGATAGTTGAAACCATTGAATGATTGGATTTGGGCTGGCTGCACATACACAAAGCCCGAGTTGTGATTAGTCAAACTCCGCCAAAAGTCATCTCTGGGTTTTTGTCCTCAACCTTGGCATAAAACGCTTTGGTAAACTATCATTCATAATAACTGCAAACTTCTTTTTGCTTCACATCTAAGTCTGGAATTTAATTGACTCGTCTCCACATTAATAACCCTTCCAAATGTTTGTGTAATCCATTGGACTGATTCACATAAACGGGTGCGGCACATAAAACACCCAAATGCGTTTGATTTTGGGCTCATTTAATGGGACTTAATGGGGCTGTGCGCGCTCCTCACAAACTGTATCAGCAGCACGAGATTGTAATTGACCTTCACTTTGTAACACACCGCGCCTCTTCATCACGTCTGAGCGGGATAAAGACACTCACAATGGCAAATACAGAAGATAGTGTCATTATATCTCTTCATACTAAATTAGCCTCTGATAATGAAAAGGTCAAAATGTCGTATGGAAATGTTTCTTGCACTTCCAATGTACACGGCATTTAATCTGACACAGCTTTCCCATGTTACTTTATGTGTAAACAGTGGTCCCTCGCTGTTTTGTGTGCTTTGTGTTTAACAACAGCTCTAGCCTGGTCTTACCATACCATTGTACTCATTTCACTTTGTACTAAGGTCTGGATTTGCTCCATTGACTCCATTAACAGGTGGGAGGGGTTAACTCCTTTTGCAGATTGAAACCGTTGGATCTGAGTTTACTGTATGTAATGAGTCCGAGTGAGGCATTTAGCCTAGCATTAACATTTAGCCTAGCTTTAGCATTTAGCCTAGCTTTAGCCATCTCCTTTGCCACTAACGGAGCCCGTGGGGAGTAGAGCCACAGCATCTTTGCCTCAATGACATTTACTAAACATTCCTCTTGCTCCGGCTTCAGTTTCTTGATATTTGGATTGAACCAGAACAGATTATTTTACTATCGCATTCTCCGACAAACTACAACCAGCAAATTCAGCACAAACTCTTGACGTCACCGACACCGACCTACAACACCCGCCTCCCCCGCTCTCTGATTGGTCGGAGGGGATTCAACCGAGGAAACTGCAGCCACTAGGATCAGACCCAGACGTACATGTAGGAAATGATCATGGACCAGAGTTTACACATGGTAAGACCAGACGTACATGTAGGAAATGATCATGGACCAGAGTTTACACATGGTAAGACCAGATGTACATGTAGGAAATTATCATGGACCAGAGTTTACACATGGTAAGACCAGACGTACATGTAGGAAATGATCATGGACCAGAGTTTACACATGGTAAGACCAGACGTACATGTAGGAAATGATCATGGACCAGAGTTTACACATGGTAAGACCAGACGTACATGTAGGAAATGATCATGGACCAGAGTTTACACATGGTAAGACCCAGCTAACATAACATCATATAAACGCTATAACATGACATTTTTTGTACGGCTTTTGACAGCTGCAGCAGCCACATATCTCTGTGATCGCACTTCAGCAGTCGTGAGTTCTGGCCTTAAAACATACAGCTGCTACTTTCAGATGAAGTTTATTGCAGGATATTTCTAGAACGTAAACCCGGCGATAAACAAGGGACCACTGTATATCAAAGCACCGCAAACTCAAATAATATAATCAACATGTTTAACACTGCTGTGGGAACACTGGTCCATCATAACATTATCACCACAACAGAGATAAGTGGTTTAACAAATTAAGTCAGGGGTCTCCAACCTTTTCCCACTGGAGGGTTGCTTGTTCAGGATAAAAATGGCAGAGAGCCAGGAAGTACAATCGGCCAATCAGCGAACATCTTAATAACATCTTATCCTGAGGAAAGATGTTATTGTTCTACAAACGCCACAACAGCAATCGGTTGAAACAAAAAATTACCAGACGACTGTGCAGAAAACTAATCCTAATGGTTGGATTTCAGACGCTCCACACAAAGCATCAGGCTCGCAGAGAAATACTACTTACTAAAAAATAATTGACACTGTATGATGGTGATAGACAGCCACAGTGGTGAACACAAAAATCCAGGTATTATTTTAGTACTCTCAGAATATATATATATATATATATATATCTTTGTAATTTCTAAAACTTTCGTTGAGCTGATATGCACTAGAAATAGTTTTCAACATGTGAATTAACGTAAGTCTTACCCCTCCTTGAAGAAAGCAATGACATGTTTTACGAGCACTAATTAAACTTTTTTTTTATTATAGACCTTTACCAAATTGTGATGCAGTTTGATGGTGAAAGTGCCTCAAAACAAGTGTTAGAGATGCCCCAATGTCAATACAACAAACTCAAAATATAGATAGATAGATACTTAATTGATTCCCAGTATGAGAAATCCAAGTGACCAGCAGCAGAAGACTCCTCCAGTTATATACGATCGACCAAATGGTTGCGGAAACCATTAAAGGATTAAATCATTACCATTCTTTCTTTAGGTAAAACAAGACATGTTGTGCTTAAAATGCTTAAATTACACTCAAATAATGCCATTTATTCCAACTTTCCAAGTCACAAATTACCAAGTTCACCATTGAAGAAACAGCTAATGGTGAAAAAAAATCACATAAATTGACTCCTAAGACATATCTCGTATAAATATCTCGTTTGAGCCCACTTCTTTGTTCTTTTACTGGGATGGTTTGCTGCTAATTTGACAGGGTTGGATGACGTGATGTTGCTGTATAGATGCCTTACACTCAATACTTAATGAGCTATACGATATAATGGCAAAGTTCTTGTCTATACGTTGGAAAAAGTTCATTTCCTTTTGGTGAAATTAAGCAGTACATCTGGGTCACAGATGTCTTTGTCGCCCAAACCACTGCAGTTCATCTGAATGGGCACCGGGGAGAGAGAAATCCAAGTAAAGAGGGGAGAAAATGGTTACGGTGGATTTGGCCTCCCTCCCCTATGCCCGGGAAAGGCCGATGCCACGCTGCTTTTTATAACTCTGACTTATGTTGAGCCAATGTTAGAATAGGGCCTTTTGTGAGTGATCCCGCTGTTCCCGCACAACAGCAGCCTCACACTCTGGTCTGATGTATAAAGACACACTGGAGAAAATATGTGAAAATAAGTAAGACATTATAATAAAAATCTGCCAAAAGAACAAGAAGATATGACTTGACACGATTTCTGAAAATAAGAAAATGAATCTAGCCCCGAATGACTTGATTCTAGTTTAAAACATACATTTCAAGTATTACTTAATTATTTATATTCATGAGAAATGTTGACTTGAGTCTGGTGTGTGTGTGAATGGTTGGTGGTGGAGGGAGGGGCCGATGGCACAGACTGGTTGCCTCGCTTCTGTCAGTGTGCCCCAGGGCAGCTGTGGCTACAGTAGTAGTTTATCACATGTGTTTGGAGTTTAAAAACTCACTGCTCAGACTGTTTTCTCTAAAAAGATTATTATGAAGTATCTTAAAACTTGTAAAATAATCTTACACACACTCTACATTCAAGCTAAAAAATACTTTAAAAAAATAAAACCATAATCTATGTTTTTTTTAGTA